AAATTTCCAAAAAAAAAAAAAAAACTTTGGCTCGAGATTTGTGCCCGATCAAATAATTTTTTTAAAAAAAATATGTCAACAATATATAAAGTATTCATGTGATGTGTCTTTTTTTTGCTGAGGAATAATAAGTGGAATTCATTTTCATAATAATTTTTTGCTCAGAAATTTTTTTCCTTAAGATCAGCATCCCTTAGCAAACTATAATTCATTTGCTATAGTATTGTAATTATCTTGTTATCTAGAAAGACTTAGACATTTTTTATAGTAAGTATTATTAAATATTAATATGTAATTTTATTTATATTATTTAAATATAATTAATTTTTAGTGTTAAATCTCAAGTGAAGCCTATAAATAAGAGATTAGAGAATGAACGTGATAATAATAATTATAAAAAAAAAAAACATATACTCCAAACTAGACTTATTCTTATAAAAATCCTATTAAAATTTAATTTTTGGTGCAAGAAAGAAGTAAAACAGAAATCATAATTGAAGGAGCCTCATGACCGAGTAATTATTGTATCCGGACACCGAACGCGTCCAAAGTCCAACAACAAAGCGTCACATCACTTGGGTGGTCGGTACCAAGCACTCGGTATTGCTCGGTATTTGTCCGGATTTCTGATTTTTTATCTGAATGTAATAACTTTTCCTCATGACCCAGGCTAAAGTGCAACACCGCTACACCTATCAATAGCCAATTCAATTATTTTCAAAAAACATAGATAGGTGGCTCTTTTCTCATGTACTGGTGGGGGCATAATTATGTGAGATTGTGGATATATATGATTTCTAGTAGCCTCCCCTAGATGAAACTTATTCTATCCCTCTAACTACTAGTCTTGATTTTTATTTTTATGCGTAGCAAAACGGTTTGTACTTTTTTATTTAAAACATGTTCATTAATGAAATTTTACTTTCAAAACTAATAGTGTATTGATTTTTATGCATGATTTAAAAATAGATTATATGTGTAGAGAAGCTATGCCATATTTTATTTTTTTCTATGCTTAATTTAACTATGTAGTTAGCAGTGATGTATGTTCTATTGAGAGTGTTGATAGAGAGACCATATATAATCATATCTAATTTTTAGTAGTGTTGCGTCCTGGGATATTCGTGGCGGTAGAGAAATATAAAATTAATATCCTAGCTTTGTACAAATATCCAACACACAAGCAGATAAAAGAAAGGGTGTAGCGTTCATAACATACACCAGAGCTTTTATCTGGAAACCCCTGAAAAGGGGAAAAAATCATGAGGCCTAGCCAGTTTGAATGAATCCATTAGTGTTTGTAGTCAATTACAAATGAGGCACTTTCTTAAGAGGAAGGTCTTGGCTCGATGTAGCAAATATACATCATACATAGTATATTACACGGTGGGAGTTTGATGAATCAATGTTGACATATTTATTTGGGGCGGCAAAATCATAGTCGGCGAGTGATGTATGTCGGAAGAACCATACTCGGCAGGTGACGGAGGTCGGAAGGACCGTAGTCGGCGAGTAAATAAATGGTTTGTACTTTTTATATATAATCAAATATGATGTCTAGTAGCCTCCCCTAGATGGAACTGGTTCTATCCCTCTAACTTCTAGTTTTGAGTTTTATTTTTGTGTAAATAAACGGTTTGTACATTTTATTTAAAGCATTTTCATTAATGAAATTTTACTTTCAAAACTAATAATGTATTGATTTTTATGTATGATTAAAAAATAGATTATATGTGTAGAGAAGCTATGTCATATTTTATATTTTTCTATGCTTAATTAAACTATGTAGTTAGCATTGATGTACTTTCTGTTGAGATTGTTGATAGAGAGACCATATATAATCATATCTTAGTAGACTCCCCAAGATGATGATGATTCTATCCCTCTAACTTATAGCCTTGATACTTATTTTTATGTGTAGCAAAATAATTTATAATTTTTATTTAAAACATGTTCAGAAATGAAATTATACTTTTCAAGACTAATAGTGTACTGATTTTTATGCATGATTAAATAATATATTTTCTATGCTTAATTTAATTATGTAATTGGCTAACAAATATGTAAAATATTGATTTACTAACACTGTATGAATTTGCTATTACAGTAATGATTTACTGTTATGGTACTGTATTTTTTTGTTACTGAGCTCATGTTTTATATAATTGAATATGTGATATAAGATAATAATACTAATATTGGTATAACTGAGCATACTGTGTACACTCTTATGCAATTAATGAATAGTACTATACTGTATTGTTATGGATTTTAACATTTTTCCTAAGTACTTTCACTTTACTGTTTTGTATAATTTCTTTAATATTTGATTAGTATTGCTATGATGTATGATTTAAGAATGAATATTTACTACTTTTCTGCTTTGACATCCGTGCTGCACTGTTTTATCGGGTTTATTATTTCAATATATGTTTCATTATTTTTACACAGATTCACGATCGTATTGACTGCTACCGTTATGAATCAAATGCTTTGAGTTAAATAATAGAATTTTGATGACCTGTTTGGTGTTTTATGCTCATTATATGTGGTTTAATGATTTCGAGCTAAGGAAAAGGACCAAAAGTGTGAGACTGGTCGAATATAAGATTATTTAGATTTTACTATTGTTTTGTCTTTTAGTTATTTTTTTTGTTGTCAGATAGCATATTGTAGATGTATAACTCCTAGTTATTGTATATGATTTTTGGAGAAATAAATATAGATGTATATTGATATTTTGATCAATAATTTTGTTTCAACTGGTATTTTATTAATGGAAGAAATTATACAGCTATGGTTATTATTATTAAAAGATAAAAGATACAATTCATTCTAATTTATATTTTTTATGCTCATTATATGTGGTTTAATGATTTCGAGCTAAGGAAAAGGACCAAGAGTGTGAGACTGATCGAATATAAGATTATTTAGATTTTACTATTATTTTGTCTTTTAGTTATTTTTTTGTAGTCAGATAGCATATTGTAGATGTATAACTCCTAGCTATTGTATATGATTTTTGGAGAAATGAATATAGATGTATATTGATATCTTGATCAATAATTTTGTTTCAATTGGTATTTTATTAATGGAAGAAATTATATAGCTATGGTTATTATTATTAAAAGATAAAAGATACAATTCATTCTAATTTATATTCTAGGACGTGACAATATGACTAATATAAGTATATAATATGATTGATAAGACTGATACGAGGGCTTATATATATATATATATATCATTTTTATTATTATATAATTAGATATCCCAATATGATTTGTCCCTAAACATATACTTGAGTGAATTCAGCCTTAGTTTATAATTTGTTTAAGAAAATTTCCTTTGAACTATTCAAGATATGCTTGAATAATCCCTTACTCCTCACTAAACAATCAACAATAACAACAACATCAAGCCTTTATCCCACTATATGGAATCAACTACATGAATGTTTTGTCTCCATTGCATCATGTTAAGAGTCAAATTCTCATTTAAATCTCATAAAAAATGTCATTTCTAATATTTTCTAACCATGTCTTTTTAGGTCAACCTCTAACTTTCTTCACATAAGTCAAATCCAATACATCTACTCTCCTAACCGAGTCATTGAAAGACCATCGTTTGATATGATTAAACCATCTAAGGCGACTCTCTCTAATCTTATCTACCATTAGAGCTACTCCAACCTTTTCATGTATATGCTCGTTTCGTATCCTGACTCTAAGAGAGAATTTTTGTGCATCAACTTTATTCTTAAAAATATGAATCAACACACTTATTCTCCACTCATCTGACATCTTTTTAATCTTTAAAATAATATTAAAAATTTAATAAGCAAAGAAATTCTTACATCTCCTAAGCATTTCCACACCTATATTAAAATATTATCAAATCCAAGAACTTTTTCACACTTTATTTTCTTTAAACCTCTCTAACTTTAGTTTTTATAATACACCTATACAAATAAAAATTTATATTTTCATTAAGGATGCAAGGTTCATTAAAATCAATCGTACTCTCACAATCTTTATTACAAAACTTAGCCAAATATCTTATCCCCTTTGTTGAATGTCCTATTCTAATAAAAGCGATTTTTAATCTTCATCCTTAATGCACTCATAACTAAATGATCATCTATGTAAATTTTAAAATTACTTCTTCAAACCTGAAGATGTTATTTATTAGTCTTTGATAACATACTCCTACATTCTTCTACCCAAATGGTTAAACTTGATAGCAATGAATTCCATCAACTATCACAAAACTTATGTTCTCTTTACAAGTCAAATACTTCTTGATCTAATTATTACAAAAATTTATGTATTGATGAAGCTTTGCATTGTAGAATAACCTACAATTGTAGCAATCTTTCTTCCAAGCTTATTGATTTTCTTTAGGTCTATACCCATACTCCACTTGTACTTATGATTTTTGACCATCGACATATTAAAAATCTAATCCGAATATAGAACTTCCCAACCAAATCTAACTACAAAAAACTTATCCACTTCATCTTTAATCTACCATATTTCTTCAAGCTAACTGAGCTTTCAGTAGCCCACAAGAATCACCCAAATCCACCACAAGCATTTGAAATAGCTCCCAAACAAAAACATCAATGATATTTCTTAATACTCACCGTTGCTTAGCTTGATTGGTGGTGGACAAGTACGGTTAGGAACCCTACACCCGTGCTCGATTCCCCTCGAGCAGCAGCACCTCTTAAGTGGGGCCCAATCAAGCACGGGCCAAGAGATTTCTAGGTTGGGTGCCTCTTCTAGATCAGCCGAGGAATAGTCACGCCACCAAGCACCCTTTCACTGCGGATGTATAACCCGTTCCAAAAAAAAAATTCTTGATAATAGGATCAGCTCATTTCTAAATTTACATTCAAGTTACATTTGGAATAACTTTTCAGCACTATATTTTCATTGTTTTCAAAATAAAATTGTACTTTAAAAATAGGAAAAAAATTGTCCCAAACAAAATCTAAATGAAGAAACCTAACACAAAAGGTCTAAAGTAAAATTCTTTTACTTACTCCGAGTTATACAAAGCATTTCCCTTTTATTTATTAGCATGTAATGATATTCCTTGCGCACAACAGTCACAAGTCACAAGTAATTTTCTACAAGGAATTAAAGGGAATAGAAAGATCATGGCTTTGGTGTCAACTTATGCAAAGCAGCATTGATCTTCTCATCTGAAATTCCTTTGAAAGATTCAGCCATACCTTTAAAGGACTCAACCCTGTAGAAATCGTAGAAGTCCAAGATCTCTATTGCAATATTCTTCACCTGCAGACCATCAATATATTTATTTACATAAGTATATATAAATATATATAATATCAGAATTTAATTTTAGATATTACAACAAAAATACTATACATTAATAAATATAAACATAATAAAAAAGATTATGAGAAATCATAAGCATGTGTGTATAGATATGTATATAAAGTTTGCCCATTCTAATATAAAAGTTATCAGAATATCCTGATAAAAATATTTTTTGAAAAGATATATTAAAATTAAGCAAAGGAAAATTTATGTTACTTACCACATTCATGTCCACACGTAGCTCCTCAAACCATGCGGTGGTTTCTTTGTCTTTGAGAACGCTTGCAATGTAGATGCAGGCAAGTGCAATCATATATGGCGGATGGATGAGGATAAGATCCATCTTGTAGGTATCATTGACAAGGCCCCTGCATGCCGTGGCATGTTTTTGTTAATGCATAACGTAGTTTTAATTGTAGGGTGTATATAACCCGTTTAAACTTCTGTCAAAACTTTGAACGATTAAGGCTCTGTTTGTTTTGAAGGAATTGCAACAGAGGAAAATGCAATGAAATTAGTTTTCAACTACTTAAAACAATAACAACACCATCAAGCCTTTATCCCACTACATGGGATCGGCTACATAAATCTTTTTTCTCCATTGTGTCCTATTAGAGTCAAATTTTCATTTAAATCTAATAAAGAAATATCATTTTTAATATTTTATAACCAAGCCTTTTTAGGTCTATATTTATCTTTCTTAATAAAAGTCAAATCTCATATCTCTACTCTCCTAACCGGGTTATCAAAAAGCCGTCATTTTATATGACCAAACCATTAAGGTGACTCTCTAATCTTATCTTCCAGTGGAACCACTCCAACCTTCTCACATATAATATATATATATATATATATATATATAAGAAAACATTTAGGTGATAACTTACCAAGAGATATGAGTGAGATCTGTCATACCAGCATCCTGTAATAACCTGGCCAAAGAAACTGAATTTAATGGCCTCGCAGGAAAAATGTATTTCTGCAAATTTAATGTCACAACCAAATGAAATAACCTCTATAATAGCTTTCCAATGAAGAGAAATATATGCGTTTTATACAAATCATTTACTATCTATAATCCGTCTTTATCACATGTGTGAAGCAAAACAAGTTCTCAATGGCATCCTTCACCATTATTTCTACTAAGCACAGTAAGACTTTTGATTTAGTCCCACTAAAAATAGATAAAAATTATGTTGGCCTAAAAATACTAAGTGGCAAATCCTCATTCTTAGGCTGCAATTAAGCCAAAAACATAATCTAGCCCAACTGTGATCCCACGTTGATTTACACTCCAAAAAATAATATCAAACCTGATGGTTCGGTTTGAATCAAGTAGCAAGGTTTAAGAGCAGGTGATCCTCACAGTGCCTATTAAGTGATTAATTGAGTCTTGGTGCATGCTAATTTATGAATCTGTGTTTGAAGGAGTGATGGCAGATGTGAAGTGCTCCTATATGTGAGAGAATTTTGTTAAGGCATATGATACTTTGGCTTTTTAGTATGACATCAAATAGTTAAAAAATGTTAGTATAAAAATAACACATGATTTGCTCTCACTTGATGTTTTTTATTAAATTTAGATGAGAAATTGACTCTTAACATGATACCACTCAACACATCCTTAAATGGTAGGTGACTAAAGGTGTGGTGGGTCCCAAGTGCGGCTTTTCAAATTCCAAGGGTGACTTTTCATATCCCAACAAGGGTGGCTTTTCATGCCCTAGGATAGTTTTTTTATCTCAAGGGTAGTTTTTCATGTCCCGAGGATTGCTTTTCATATCTCAAGGGGGGTGGGCCCAAATCTGCTAATCCCGTAACAATACTCCCCTCCTAAACCAACACCTTATCCTAAAGATGGAAGGATTGAAATTACTTCTTAATCACCTCATATGATTCTCATGTAGCTTCATAATCAGGTAGATCCCTCCATCGAACTAGGACCTCCTTTGCTCCTGTCATCCCTTGTTGTATTCCAACGACCTCCATAAGTTCCAAAATCACCTCCATGTCCTCCTTCAATGTTGCAAGTAGTGAGAAAGAGGGTGTGTGATCTTTGATAGCACGCCCATTGATGATGATGCTGGTAATCTCAAAAGATAGGCTACTTCCCCAATGCGCTCTGTCACCTCATAAGGCCCGAACATGGTGATAGCTTCTCATTCTTCCTCTTGACCAGTGTCTTATGCCGGTATGGTCTTAGTTTCAAATAAACTCTATCCCAAGCTCGAACTGTACTTCTCGTTTGAGTTCATCTACCTTCTTTTTCATAAGTTGTTTATCTCTCAACATATGCCCTTTGCGTTCTGCTAGTAACTTGTCTCTCTCTCCTCCAAGTACTGATCTATATTGGATACTGGTGTAGTGCTCTGCCCATATTGCATCAAATGAGATGGATCACTCCCATACAAAATCCTAAAAAGGATAGTCCGTGCGGCTGTGTGAAAAAATGTATTATACCAATACTCCACTCATACATAGTATTAGTGTGTCAAATGCAAAACAACGCAAGTATGTCTCCACGCTCATGTTGATCACTTCTGTTTGGCCATCCATCTGTGGGTGATATGTTATGCTCCTTTTCAGGATTATCCCTTGCATCTGGAATAACTCCTTCCAAAAATGGCTGAGGAACACCTTGTCTCTATTTAATACTATAGATTCAGGAATATCATGTAAGCATACTACCTCTTGAATAAAGACCGTGGAAATTGAGATGGCAGTTTAGGGATGTTATAGTAGAATGAAATGGGCATACTTGCTCAGTCGATCTACCACCACTAGTATCACTAAATATCCATCCGAGCGTTACAAACCCTCAATGAAGTCCATCGTAATTTCCTCTTAGACCTTATCAGGTAAAGCTAAAGGTTACAGTAACCCCCCCCCTAAGGTTCCTCGACCCTCTTAGCCAAGGCGTCTGCTGCTTTATTTTCTAAGCCTTGTCGGTACAAGATTTCAAAATCATATCCAAGCAACTTGGATAGCCATCTCTGATACTCCTTAGTAACCATCCGTTGTTCCAATAAAGATTTTAAACTCCTCTGATCCATCCTGACTATAAAATGTCTCCTAAATAAATAGAGTCGCCACTTTTGAATAGCCAAGATAATCACCACCAGCTCTCGTTCATACACGTACTTGAGCCTTGCCATGACTATGAGCATCTGGTTGAAATATGTAATAGGCCTCTAGTCTCACATGAGTACTACTCAAAGCCTATAACCTGACGCATCTGCCTCCACCACAAATAGTATCCCAAAATTTGGTAGCACCAGCACTGGTACATTGATAATAACTTTCTTCAACTCCCAAAAAGCTTGTGTCGCTCCCTCCCCCCCATTTGAGCTATCATTCTACAATTGTTATGTCAAAAGGTCCCACAATGGAGTCGTATCCCTTCACAAATTTTCTGTAGTAATCGTTGAGCACTAAGAACCCACACAATTTCTTAAGTTCTTGGGGCATGACCTTGGACTAGTTAGCTGACACCCTCTCTCTGGACACCACGTGTCCTAAATACTCCACCTATGACTGACCGAACAAGCACTTTTTCTAATTGGCAATCAACTGATGTTCCATCAAGGTATCCAATATTGTCTTTTAAGTGTTCCCAGTGTTCTGTTCTATTCTTTTGTATGCCAATATGTCATCAAAGAATATCAAGAACAACCTTTTGAGATATGGCTAGAACACTCGGTTCATGAGGGATTGACTGGAGGAAGCGACATTGGTGAGACTCAAGAGCATCACCAAGAACTCGTAGTGCCCCTCATGTGTCCTAAAAGCCGTCTTGTGCACATCAGCTGTCTTCATCCTAATTTGATGGTATCCCAACTTCAAATCAATCTTAAAGAAGATCAATGCTTCAAATAACTCACCAAACAGTTCATTAATCACTAGAATAGGAAACTTATCAGGCACAATTTTTTTGTTCAGAGCCCTTTAATCAAAACTAAATCTTTAATTGTCATTCTTCTTCAAGGCCTCTCACTAGGTCTAATGATCCATGCTTCAAGAATTTCCTTGATCAGCCTCTATATCTTCTTTCTGAATTTAGGGGTATTGGTATGTTTGACTCCTATAGGATAGGTCCCCTCCTTTAGAGTGATGTTGTGCTCATGCTCTCATAGTGGTGGTAACCAAATAGGTTGTTGGAATATGTCCTGAAACTACTACAGAATTTACTGGACCCCATTGAGATTTCCCCAGTCTCTTGCTCTTAGACCCCTTCTATGCTCTATAACTCCACCAAGCACCTCACCTTGGATTGTTCTGAGCGTGATTTTAAGTGACACTATGGTTTTGCATAAGCTAGCATCCTCTCATAGCACTGCCTTTTTTCCCTCTACCTGAACCTCCATGGTCAGAGATTTTCAATCCACCTTCATTTCTCCCATGGTCTGTAGCCATTTCATCACCAGAATCACATATGTACATCCAAGTCTAGGGGAAGGAAGTCTTCCATAACCTGAATATCTTGTAAAGTCATCACCACCCTCTTACATATCCCCCAACTCCTCTCTTATGAGGACATCAACAGGAGATTATGGCACGTCAATTAGAGGAAGCATCGTAGATCGACGACTACGATTAGGAGTCTTTATTTGTGATGCATTTTATGTATTTCTTTTATTTAAGTTCTAGCTTTTACCATTGTACCCCTGAAAGGGATTAGTTTGTGTTGTAGCCTAGAGGGCAATTTTAGTCTTTGAGTCTTTTATTCCTTGAGGCCTTTATATGAAGGCCATATCTTTTGTATTGGTAAGATAATGATTTTGAATGAAAATTTCGCCACTTATTCCTTTTCTTTGTTGTGAGATCTTGAGAGAGGAGAGAACCCTAAGTGAGGGCCAAGCAATTCCCGTCAGCCACCGGTAGAGTCTGGGCTCGCAGCTTGTATCTGTTCTTATTCATCATTTCCTCCTCTTCCCCATATCGCCGGCTACCTACCTCCTCCCTTTTTCCTGCCAAACCCTATCACTCCACCCAAACCCGCTGGCTAAGCCCCTTCCCCATCCCAAACCGCCGGCCAACCTTCATCAAATCCCCACCGCCAGCCAAGCCCCCTTCCCCCGCCTAATCATCGGCCCGATCCCCTCCCCCTTCCTCTACCTGCTGGCCAAAAAACTCTAGCATTGCCGCCAGGCACCCTACCAATTCTCCAAGGCTCCAATTTCCAATCATCCACTTATTACTTTCCTAATTTAGTTCAAAGCAATTTGGGAATTTCAATTTTGAATTTCAAATTAATAGAAAAAGAACACATCACCCAATTCAGAAACTTGATTAGATTTGATGTGGGGTTGATTAAGCCTCATTATGAAAATGATGAATAATCTAATATAAATATTTTAAATTTATTATGATTTAATAATATATTAATTATTAATTAATAAATTTTAAAAGTATCAAGAAAGTTTTAAAGCTTACAAGGATAGACTCAACAATTAAAATATAAAAACATCAAGCAAAAATGAACGACAAAGCATATATCTGTTTAATGGCACTCAATGATAAAGAACTACATCAGGTAAATGAACTTCTATCCTATGATGAATTAAATGATGCCTGGTTTAAGTTGGCTGATCCATTTATCAATCTAAAGAAGAATTATCGTACTTAGAAGAAAAATCATACTAATTTGTACTCACATCATTCTGATATTCAAGTTGAACTTCTATATGTTAAGAAGGAAAATGAATCACTAGCACACAAATCCTATTTATGTGATAAGCTTTCTAGAGAAAAAATAATAATGAAAGCAAAGATTGATTATTTGGACAATAATGCTAATAGAAAATCTAGCTCAATCATCACAAATACTAGACATCATAATAGAAAAAGCACACATCACCCAATTCAACATTGTAAATATGCAAATGTTAGAGTTAAATGCAAATCTTGTAGTAGATTAGGACATATTTTAAAAACTGCAGAGGTAGAACCACTAATAAATCATCCCAGTTTGTTTGGATTGCTAAGCTCACATGTGCATCTGAAAACAAAACACAGTTCTCAAGATTATTGAAAACTTATTCAAATTTTAGGTGGCTGGCTCCCCAATAAGAAACAATGGCAAGCACTAGAACAAGATCAACAATCATACAAATTTCAATAGGACAATTAAAGTTTGTGCTAAAACAACAGTATAAATGCACTTCTAATAATCCGTTGCAAGAACTTACTGAAGTAATGGACGATAAGGATGAAAAACAACCAAATAATAGTCAAGGGCTTCGAGGAGTTTCATTTCCATTTCAAGAATGTCTTTGATCTCACAACGGTACTTCTCATCAGTACCTGTTATAAACAAAAATTAGTTCAAGCACCCAAATACAGATGTTAAGGATTGCAAGAGAAATGTAATTATTAAGATTCATGCATAGAAGAAATAAAAAAAACTTACAAATCTTTTTAATATAAAAAACTAGCAATCGAGCCTGTACAGTGCTCTCCTCTGCTTTTGATGCCAAGTACAAGCAAGTCGTTGTAACTAACCGAGGATCATACTCTGTCAAGCTTTTTCTGTAAAAAGGATGAAAATGAGAAAATGTAAGAGTTGCAAGTGGATCTTAGATAACTAGTCAAATTATCATATATCTAAAGTCACACACATCGCCAAAAACTATTACATAACTAACAACAAAATTGGAAATATGCAGATAGTTGATTTATATATGCCCATTAATATACTCAAAAGTCAATTTAAGTACCAGAAGCTAGATTAATAGGCCTACTCGAGCATGCCATCGTATTCTTTCTTAGCTTGCAAAACATCAACATAATATTTTTAGCAACATGAAAGAACGTTTTCCTTCTTATGTCTGATAAATGAACTAACTCAAGCTACCAAAGAATGTACATAGATGCACTAACTTTTTTTATTTATTTTTTGCATGAACACTAAATGACAATTTCAGATGCTTCTTTCGAACTTAAACTAATATGATGCCAATGATAACATCACTGATAAAAAAAATAGAGGAAAATAATTTAATGCAAATTAATACTATGTACAGAACATGAAAGCTATAAAAAATAAATTGTATTATTAGAAAGTACCTGGTATACACACGTCTGAAATAAGTAACGGCAGTAGCTATAACCCTGAAAGATAGATGAATGAAAAATAAATAAAAAATAAAATCTTTCACCCCACCCAAATCATTAATAGCATGCCAATACGTGATGCAATCAAATATAACTCCTAAACCAAAAGACTTGAATTTTATGGAAATTTTCATAACATTTTATGTGGAAAGTTGTAAAAAAACAATTCGCATTGAAATTTAAACATTACAAGTATGCAATGCCTCACTTTGACTCAATTACCATTTGTGGTTTGGGTTCTGCTTAATCCTCATAGACATTAAAAGAAGCAGTTGGGTGATGGACCGATGGACCGGCCGATTTGATTGGGAAGGAATTGGGAAGTTTTCTAATCAAGAGAGAGAAATTTAAGAAGGTTCTTAATCAAAGGGGAATTATTTAGAAAAGTTTTAATTATAATTGGGAGGGAAATATTTGGGAAGAGATCAGATTTGAATTTAAATATGCGAGGGAATTATTTAGAGAAAGGGTGCTAATTTGGAAGAGAATTAGAGGAGCCTATTTAAGGCTAACAATATGGTGATTTTAGGAGTATGTTTTGAGTTTGTCGAAATTAGAATTTCTTATGTTGTGAGGGCTCTATCCTCTGACTAGGGATTTGAGAGAGTTGGATCTTCCTCTCCAATTGAAGATCTAACTGTAACTTGCTATTTTCTTTCATATATCATACAATAAAAAGAGTTTTTTTTGTGTTTTTCTTCCTAATTTCTTATTATCGTTAGCTGATTTCGAGGAAATTGTATCCACTTCCTATCAAATTGGTACCATAGCACTTTTTGGGACCTATGGCGACAAAGAAGGTAGATTGGTTGGAAGGCAAAGTGGAGCAAATCAAAACCCGATTGGTGGAGAAGTTCTCAACTATCGAAGGAATGCTTTCATCCTTAAAAGGAAGACTTTCTAACCTAGAGGATATGATGAAGAAAATATTGGAGCTTCACACTCAACCGACAACATCGGAGGCAAGGGCATCGTTGACTGGACAAGGAAGTCGGGGAAACCCTAATATAGAGACAATGTGGGAGGATAGGGAGGTGAAAATTTTGAGGGAAGAGGAGATGCCACCTTTGGAGCCACTTCCAAGGAGGGGAAATGGTGAATGAGTGGGATTTTTGATGGAGCTACAGAATTTGCAAGGAGAAGAAGATGGGAAGAAGATAGAAGAACCAGACATCATTCAGCTACTCATACAGGCAAGGTTGTGAAAACCTGACTAGACATCGAAACGGAAGGAGAGATTCACGATTCGACTGGGGTCGAACTAGATGATATAATAAATAATAATATTATTAAAATTTAATTTAATTAATATATAATATAACAATCTAACCCTAAACCTCATAATTCTAATAATTTAAACCCATAATAATATGACAATCTAACTAAACAATTTTGAGAAAAATTGAGGCATTTTCACAAACACCTTAGATGTATTGAGCTACTTCTTGAGCATCATGCATGGCTAAATCCAAGGAATTTTCATACATGTTAGCTGACATTCCAGCAGTATTCTCATCCTGCATCAAATTATCAACCACTCCAAGAATGTTCCCGCCAAATATTAAACTGATTATTTCAAACCCACACATACAAATCATATAAAAAACTTAATTCATCATCCAAGACAACCTTTTGCTTTGACGAATCCTTCTTGCATACAGAAAAAATATAATGTAGTTTCTGTTATTAAATTGAAAGCTTAATTGGTTTATTTGATTGTTTCAGGGTCAATAAAGTCCCTGATGAAAATATTTAAGAAGATGCCTAATGCACATTCAAAAACTATATATAAACTTAGTAATTTAAAACAAAACAGTAATCTCAAATAAAGATGATAAAAATCTTTATCAAAACATAATCCAACTAGGAAGACAATGTTTGATATTAATTGATAACAGTTATATTGTTGAAGAAACGATTTAGCTTCATTCCTATGGTTTTAAATCCACAAAAGTGGCAGAAAGATATAGCAATATTTTAAAGAACAACGAAGTGAAGGTGAGCAAATGACAAACCTGTGATTTGTGCCACAGACAATGGGAGTACAACCTTGCTCGACAATGAAATGTGGCCACCGAATGGCTGAAGGAGCGCAACCTATGGCTGGCTATACACGAACGAAGGCGATGGCGAGCTGAGAGGAAACGAACGAAACTCATGGTTGGCTATACGCAAACGAAATAAAAACTATGAAAAACACGAGCAGAGCTTAGGGTTATACACTTATACGGTCTAAACATTTTGATTGATTTTGACCTTTCATTTCGCAATCAACGGCTGTCATTACGTTTGTTTTGAATCAGACGGTTCTTTCAAATCCAACCGATTTGACGGTTTTAAGGTCCAACTAGTAATTCAGCCGACTTTTTCCTAGTCAGCTGCTACTACGATTTTCAAAGTTAAAGGGACTGATTAGCCAGCCTGTTCCCGGTTCAACCAGTTGAATCAGCCGGTCTGGTCCGATTTTAATACCAACACCTACAATAGTGTCGAGATGTGTTCAAGCCAGTTCAAGGGTTGCAACCTCTGCGGAAACACGATCATGCTATCATTTTGAAGGAATGAGTCTCGCATATCAGTGTTCATCCGTACCATTCTCCCCAACTCCAAAAGGACGAGATGGAGATAATGATCAGGGAGATGCTGGAGGGAGGGATCATTCGACCCAATGACAGGCCATTTTTCAGTCCAATGCTTCAACAATTATTTCCTTCGTTCCACCTTGAGTATAAGGTGTCACTTTAGGAGGGGAGAATTAATGGATCAGCCAATTTGATTGGGAAGGAATTATGAAGTTTCATAATCAAGAGGCAACTGTTTAAGAATGTTCTTAATCAGAGGGGTATTATTTATAAAAATTTTAATATAATTGGGAGGGAATTATTTAAGGCAAGATATCTGATTTGAATTCAAATATGAGAAGGGATAATTTAGGGAAAGGGGGTTGATTTGTGATGGAATTAGGGGAGCCTATTTAAGGCTAACAATAGAGTGATTTTAGGATTATGTTTTGAGTTTGTTGAAATTAGAATTTTTTATGTTGTGAGGGCTCTAGCCACCCGGCTAGGGGTTTGAGAGAGTCGGATCTTCCTCTCCAATTGAAGATCTAACTCCATATTGTTGTCTTCTTTCATATATCTTACAATAAAAAAAAGTTTTGGTGTGTTCTTCTTCCAATTTTTTTATTATCGTTCGATGATTTCGAGAAATTGTATCCACTTCTTATCATTGGGTTCCACTAAATATTAAAATTATAAAACCTTGATCCAAGGTTTAAAATTGAGCAATTGGATATTGACACGTTTTTCTTCTGTGAGGTAAAGTGTAAGCCTCAAGCCATTTTGAGGTGTAAGCCTCAAAATCTAAAAATTGCGTAAAGTGAAAATAAATGTTAAAAGTAATTTTTTATATAATACCCAAATAATATGTTAAAAAATAACATATCAACTTTCTATTGAACTATGAAGTAATAAATTGGCATACATATGAAATAAAAAATTGCATAAGATGTAAAGCGACAAGTGATAATTTGCATGAAATAAAATTGAAATCCAAATATTACAAGAGAAAAATAATATGAAATATAGAAATTACATAAATGTATCATAGTTCAACTCCAAATTTCTTCTTTCTCGGTTTTCCACTCATCCACATTTAATTTCTAAAAAAAGCTAACATAATTGGCAACAACTCAGAAATCATCTGCACTATCATCACTGAGAGGTATTTATTTGAGTCGCTGTCATAACAAATAGGTATTTTCCCTACCTCATCCTATGGAGTTCAATGTCTCTCAATCTATTTCTTCTTCATTTATTTTAATCATCTTTCTCTTTCATCAATATTTATCATTAACATAAAAATGAGTATAATACTCCAATGGTGGTGGTGTGATGCTTTCAAGTGATTCTTAAAGGTGGCTACGATATAGGTGGCTACAACAAAGGCGATGGACTAGAGGTTGAGGCGGTTGAGAGGAAGTTGTTATAGCTTGGGGTGCATGAATGCATAATTCGTTCAGGGCTTTACTTTAGGATTTAGGTAAGTTTTAACAAAAAAATATATAAATCGGGTGAGGCATACGCCTCACGCCAATAAGGCGAGGCGTGCATCAAGGCGGGCCTCAGCCAAGCTGAGGCGCAAGCCTCATAAAAATGCTTGAAGAGTAAGTATCGAGGCGTGTTTCACTAAAATTGCGCTGAGTTGAGCCTCATATTGCGCAATTTTAAACAATGCCTTGATCTATACAAACATTGATAATTGATTTTTAACATTGCTCCAACCATAAACAAAAAGGCCATAGGTTTCTACAAATTGAAAATTAATTCTTTGTATTGATAATTGATCATCACTATTTGTTCCAACAATTTATAGCAAGTCTTATGAATCCTCATTTTCCATTCATTTTTATTAAATAATAATGACTTCTCCATATTAGCAACTCAAAAAAACGCATGAACCCCATCCATGCAATATTCGTACTAGCCAATGAGATAATCTGTACAAGTCAAATGAGATCTAAATAGTGAGTAAAAGCCCAAAATAATCTTTCAAATATTAGTAAATACCCAATTTAATCCCAAACAATGATAATATCAATTTAGTCCCCAACTATTAAAAAATGTCTCAAATTGGTCTCAAGGACAGAACTGACAGTTAACCCCAACAGTTAAATGTGATGATATTTTATGAGAGATTATATTATTATTTTTAAAAATTCTATTATTTATCATATTAAAATAAAATAAAAATCATAATGGAAGATAACCATATTTATTAATTATTCACTCTTGTTATTTAGTTTGTTAACTTTAATTATAATTTTTGTATTTATTTTAATATGATAAATAATAAAAAATATGAAAAAAATATAATATCATATACATCATAATACCCAAAATGTCCTCACATTTAATTATTAAGGTTAGTTTTACCTGTTACTTTTGGCCTTGGGACCAAATTGGGATATTTATTAATAGTCAGGAGATTAAATTGGGTCATCATGAAAGTCTGGGATTAGATTAGACATTTACTAATAGTCGGGAGACTATTTTGGGATTTTACTCCCTAAATAACTAAATATGCTTTCCTCACAGAGTCGCAGCCATAAACCATATTCTATGTCTAAAACACAACCCCAAAATTGCATCGCATTCATACCACTAATTTCAGTATCTTGCATCACGTGAAAGAATAACCAAGTCATAAATGGCATTGTCCCACTGAACTAAGTATAATACAAAAAAGAAAGAAAGAAACTGCTAGGGCTTGGACTATCAACAGGTAATGATAAAAATCTCAAGATTTACAATCTTAAGGCACATTATGTAATGCTCAAAAACAAAACTTGGGCAGTTATGCATCATTAGAAGCAGAGAAAACTCAAACCTTTGCCTCACTTTCACGTGTTGAGCAAGTTTCCATATGTCTGAAAAAATGTTCAAGCAAAATTAATAATGAATTGCATAAGCATCTCTTCACAATATAGAAGAAGATTGCATTTCTCTATAAACATATGCACCAATAAATTTGTGTTGTTAAAGCAACAAATTTGGTCCCCAAATAATAAGAACAGTTATTAATGTTATGGGTAAACAACAAGTACTAATGGATTAAATTGATCAAATAATATGTTTTTGTACATAAATTTACACGTATAAATAGTTATCAAACAGTTTGACATGCTAGCTACCTTCAACCTTACGAAGAAGGTAAACTATAAATTTGACGTATCAAGTGTCGATAATGGCATAAACACAAGAATTGTAAGCAGTGCTGTTCCAAGCTTATCAAGGGCAGCTAAAGCTCATAAAATTGCCAATAAAACACCAAACACGCTTATCATCCTAACCTAACAAGATGATCATCAAGAAAGGAAACTTAGGCTCCAAAAAATGAACCCAACCAAAGGGATTTAGAGTCCGGAACAGAAACCCTAGACACCTAAAACTTCTTGGCCGCAGGAAGAGGACTTACGGTTGGTCATGTGGATCTTTATGAGCTTGAACTCCTCAAGAGTTAGACCCCTCTCCTTGTCGATCGGGTGCACCACATCAATCTTATCCTGCTCAACAAGCTGCTTGCTGCCATGGTCGAAGAAAAACAGGTAAGAGACATTTTGATCCCGAAGAAACAGCAATGGAAATCGAGGACAAAGAAGTGCTACTAATGAGAAGAAGTCCAGAAATTCGCCGCCATTGTTTTTGGCTTTGGAATCCGGCGAAGCCCGGCGAATAGACAGATCGAGCTGGCCAAGTTTATGAAGGCGCAAAGTGGGCAGAGCAATTTACAGAAATAGTAAAGTTCAATATTTACTGATTTAAAATTTATTTATTTTTAATTTAAAATTTTAACTTGATTATAATTCATATTATTTTATAAAAATTTTTAATCATAATTATTTAACAAATTTCATGCTATCTATTGATTATCCAATATAATATTTTATTTTTATCATCTAAGATTTGAACCCGATAACAACATTATTTATTCGATCTTTTATAAGAATTCATTCTTAAGAGATATTTTGAAGAACATGTTGCATTATTTTTTTATTTTGAAGAACAAAGGAATGCATTATATTTTCTTTGAACTTATGTCTAGTTTAAAGATGTATTCTAATTATTTTATTGAAGAAAACAGAATGTATTATTTTGAGATTATATTAAGGAAATATATAGTCAAATATGTTTTGAAATCATTATTAATTTATAAATGAAAATCTATCAAGTTTTATTAAAATTTTGAAATTATTTTAATAGTCTCTTTGGATGAACTTGACCCACAAGATGAGCTCAACCCTCATATTAACTCTAGCTAATAGCTCAGCATGACTACTCACCAATAGTCAACTAAGCCTGCTAAAATTAGCCAACAACTTCATGTGGATCGGCTCCTTATTTGGAGTTGATTAATGTTTACTATTTTCATATAAATATAGGTACAAAATATTTATTTTATAGTAAATCCTTACCAAGCTTTTATCTAGTAATCATAATCCTTCCTTTAGATATAACCTTCTTATAGAGTCATCCATCAACCCCCAACTGCAAATAAGGGGTTAGAGGGTAGTTCATTTTTGTCAATCACTCTAGTTAGAAAAATTATTTTGATTGTGGTAAGTAACTTGAATATTATCTCTACTTTTAGTGGTTTTAATTTATCAAATTTTGTCTCACCTAAAATTGATTTAAATATGATATATCTCATTTTTAATGATTTTTTAACATGTAACTTTTGATATGTGATAGAGATCACCATTCTAAGTATTTTGACCAGTTAATATTAAAATTTCAGCTCGTAGTTTTATGCTATTTTAAATGAAATTATTAGTATAATATTAATTATAAAATAATTAGGAATCAATGTATTACATTTAATTTGAAATATATGTTATGTACATATTTATTATTCATTTAGTGTACATTTTTGACATACTACATGTATACTGATAAGTATATTTAATATTACATTGATTGTATGTGGTCTTGACTACTGTAATTTATATGATATGAAGTGTGTGTAAAAGTAAGAAAGACTAGCTAAAAATGATTGTCTAATTCAAATTGATTTGAGACATGTTACCTCATACATGAGGATGGGTTGACAAACTTATTTTTAAATAAAGTTTGTGATGTAATCCTAAGAGATATAAAAATGAAGATATAAGGAAACTAATTGGTATAATATGATACACCGATGAGTAGGAAATGATAACTTCTTATATGAAAACTACATGACTAATGAATTATGATATGTGATATGAGACTGATTTCTAGAAACAAGACTGATATGATTAAGACTAATTTCTATGGGGTTGGCCAACATGATTGAATATAGGGAAAAACACCACATTTAGACGGATGTCCAATCTTGCTTATATTATTTATACATGCATATAATATTAGCATGTTGAATATATTGCATAAGGGTCATGGTATGATATAATATGTACATGATACAGGACATGATTGATACAAGCATGTGATATAATTGTAAGATGGATACAAGGGCATATGATTACATGAACTATATGACATACATGATACACATTGCATATAATATTGATATTATAAGACATGCATACACATATAACACTATAAACAAGACTTATGCAATTGATAAGACTAATACTTGGAATAAGGCATTTAATAGGAACCTAATATACATATATTGCATAGATAGTATATGACGTGTAAGGTAAGTGTCCTGATTTCATAAAGCACTGTATAAGCTATTTTATAATTGACATGCATGAGAATGATAAAACATACTGGTCCATTTCATTGCTATTGATCACTATTCATAAGATATATAGCTATAATGATTTTATTGCTCGTATGATATAACACCGTATGTATTAATTACTACATGCTTTTACCACTATATGTTCATAGTGATGTCAATTTAATAATTACATGCATATTGTTTCCACTGCCTTGCATTGATTTTAGCTGTAGGTTCTTATAACCTACTAAGTCGCTAGCTTACTTTGTGGTTTTTATATATTTTTAGGATGGGGATAGGATCCAGTGGAGTGAGACAAATCAGGATTTCTCATATTTTCTTTTATTTTGTATTTTGACTTATTCTTTTATAGTCATGAGTTTAAAATGATGCTCTGATCTATTAATTGACCTCCTAACTATGTGTATAAATTTTGAGGAATGAATTTAAGTATGTATTTTTTATGAAAATGATTTATAATTGCTTTAACTGATGATTATATTATTTAAAAGAGATTAGTGGCTTAGATAGTTTAATTAAGAAGTAAATAGATAATTCTTTCAAATAAGACACTAAGGCGTAAAATATCCACCTTATTAGCAATGTATGTATCAGAGTTTGTGTTAATGGGATCTATTGACGTTATAGTAACACTAGACATCAATATTGGTGTCGATAATATACGTCAGCCTTGTTACTGATTATGGGTATCAAAGTTAGTATTTATGGTGGACATCAATCTTGTTTATGATGGTGGGCATTATTATTAGTGTTGACAGTTGATATTGGCCTTATTAGTGATGAAAGAGATTATAGTTGGTGTTGAAGATGTGCATCATAGTTAGTTTCAATAAGGGTGTTAAATTTGTTGGTGATGGCTTGCGTCGATATTAATGCTAACATTGGGCATTATCCTAGTTGGCTAATGTCAATCTTATTTTATAATAAGGAGCATCATAGCTATCATCAATGACGAGCATAAACCTTACTTGCGATAATGAACATGTTTCCAAATCAAAGTTGATTTTATGATGGGCAACACCATGGTAAATAATGCCTTGGTCGTGATGATAGATGTCGACCTTATAGTCAATTGCTGGTGAAAAGTTCATGCAAGTTTAGCTTTAGATTCTTTCCTTCAAAATCTTTCATGTGGAATTATCCCCTTCCCTCCCTCATTGTGTAGAAGCTTGGTTTATTTATAGATTTTTAGATAGAAAAATTCCAAGTTATTTTCATTAGAAATCAAAACACTCAATCAGACAATTTGTATTGATCCCCTTGATCATACGGTATTCTCTAGGTATATTACTACTTTAATAATATTAAAATTGAGATATCTTAACCTCATTAGATTTCAGTTATAAAAATGCTTAGTTTGATTGTAAGTATGCAAGATTCTTAGATCATCTCATACCTCAAATGGTGTGAATAAATTTACAACTATACTTTTGAGTAGTTGAGTTTCGTCCATTTGGACTCGGATCAAGAAACTTTTTATATTTTTTAGTTCATCTCATTCATGAATTTTACAAAAAAAAAAAAGTTTAGATGATCATAAAGTTGATTCTAAAAGTTTTTATTCAATTACTTACATCAAGATCCATACTTGATGGGTGCTTTTTTTTATTGATGTATTAGTTTCCCCATATTTAAAAATTAACAACTATAATTCTAAAAGTAAATTAAATATTAAAAATTGTGATATAAAATTATCAAGTCAAAAAAAAAAATACAAGACATGACCAAGGTTTTAGCAATTGGCTTGCAACCACCAGCTACTGACACAAGCTTCCTATGCGATGTGTTTGTGTATTTATGTGTTTTTTATTTTCAATAAAATATTTTTTCTATTTTTTTAAAGAAAAATATTTTTATTTTAAAATATGTATTATTACTTTATAAAATATATCAAAAATATGGAATTGAAAAAAATCTAAACTAATTTCTCTCCTTTATACCCCTCTCAATTATAATACCCCTTTAAAGAGCTTGGGGAAGATCATAAATTTCCTTAATAAGCACTAAATCTTCTTTAAAAAGATGTCAAAACCTATCTTGCATGAGACATAACTATGGTTGGTGATTGGGATTCACAAATCCTTACATTGAGACTCCAATCTTTCCTTAAAAATAGGGTTTCTTCTTCCTAATTAGATGGAGCAGACAAATTCTCACAAAAAGAAGAGATTATTCTGTGCGGTCACCGAACAAGAAGAACCATTCGGTTTTAAAAGCACAGCATGAACAGCAAAAACACAATCATGTTTACAGAGACAAGCCAGATGGTTCTCCTCATCCGGTGTTCGCACAGAATAATTCATCCTTAAAAAGGCTCTAGTCTTCCCTTTAAAATAGAGTTGGTTGGTCATGTCGAATGAATTAGATTTGATGGATAGATGTGAAAATTCTTCATTAGCAAGGTCAGCCAATGTAGGGGTGTCAAAAAATGACCTGACCCATCAGACCGATTCAAAAAAATTCAGATTAGAGTTGACCACTACTATATATTGGGAGCCCATCATACACACGAATACACAAACAACATGAACTCTGCTAATGCAACACTAAGCTAGCTTTTAGTTTGAAGAGCCCAAAGCTTTCTAATACTACAAATAATACCTGAAAGACTCGCACAAAATTTCAGGAGGTTAATGCAGCATCATTATGATTTCAAAGCATGAAACTTAGAAAGATAAAAGTGCCATATTTTCATCACAAACAGAAATTTTGGATTAATATACATACAGCAGCAGGAGACACCCTACAGGTTCACAGAATGAAGCTTGAAACATTGTGAAGTTATCTTGCCTAAGAGAGCAGGGAGACTAGGGATACAAACTCTGAGGTGACCCTTCCTTTTGATCTTGTATTGATCACAAAGTGCTCAGGGTATTTTCTGAGCAGTGCAAGAAGGCCAAACCATGGCCTCGCTTTGGTCTCACTCTGTGGCCAGTCCTCTGACGTCAGATACCTCCTTACCCTGCTATGATGCCATGTATTTCCAAATTGTTCCATAAGCTACAAAAAAAAAAAAATATACAAGTGTTAAAAATAACTGGAAGAATAAGATGGTATGAATGTGCCCATCAAGATGATGATGAATAAGCATATTATCATTTAAATCATTCCTTTAATAAGTGTTTATGTTGATGTTAAAAATGCTCCTAATAAGCAATTTATCATGCTTAACATGGAGAAAATACATCAATTTTGTCAAGTCAACGCATTTTTTGAGAATTCAGATTAAGGCTTCATTTGGGACGGTTTTCTTCTTGCTTTCTAAGAAAATTTTCTAGTACAAAAATTTTTTGAATTTGAAATTTTTGTGTACTAAAAAGCTGTTTTAAAAAGCAGCACGAAAGCTGTCCCAAACGAAGCCGAAATGGAAGCTGTATTTAGGTTTTTAAAAACAGCTATCAGGAGTGTATAGGGTTATAAGTGAGGCATCTGGCAGCTGTTTGTTCATCTAAATGCTACAAATTTTATATACTTTCATCAAGTTGCAGCCAAATTCAAACATAATCCTGAAGCCTTTCAGATTTGACTAGCCTAAACAACCTCAAAAATAATCTAAATACATGCAGAAGAGTCAATCTCTAATTTATATACACTAATGCAGATGAACATGGTGATTTAGGCTTCGTTTGGGACGGCTTTTTTACTGCTTCTTAAAGTAGCTTTGTAGTACAAAAATTAAACTTTTTATACTAGAAAGTTGTTTTAAGAAGCAGTAAGAAAGCTGTCCCAAACAAAGCCTTAATTAGTGGTTTCATTCCGAAACATACTTTCAAAATCCTTTTGAAAAAGATTTCGGTAAGGCCATGGTAGATGGGCGACTAGATAGCTAGCTTCCCAGCGCTGGCCCTTTGGCCAAGGAGATGTCAGAGGTTCAAATTACCTCAAATGGTCAAGTGTTTGAAGCCAAGACATGGCAATTCTTGTCTTTTAAAGGAGTAAATTTTGATGGGATCCCAAGCATAAATAGAGGATTCTTAGGCTAAATAAGGTTGGCATAATTATCAGAATATAAAATTGCTCAGAATCTACATAGAGGAAAAATCTTCAACCTCTGCATGAAGTTTCAACATGGGCATCCATTCGCCTGGTCCACAAAGATCCGACAACACAGTTGCAACAGATGATACAACGTCTTTTTCTTCTAACTGCAAGAGCTGCTGGTTGTCTGTTTCTCTATCAAACCGCGACCTCATGTCAGACTTCTTTTCTGCAAACAAACAAATAACATTTTTACCATTATTAAACATCTTAACATACACATTATATCGTAGCAATTTCATAAATCAACAAAATTTTGAATGTAAATCGAAAACGCAACATATAAACTATGAGTACTTCTACATGGTGCCGGATAAAATAACAATCCGGCATGCTATTTCATATAAAATGGTTGCATGTACAAAACAGTGCCAGATGGTGTTTTAAGTTTAAAATAAAAAACAGCATTCATATGCTGGAAATTATAGGGTTCAATGCATTATATATTGGTAATTCCTCATGGTTTGATACTATTTATAAGTTTTTATACTTTTGCCCTAAAATAATATGTGGAAATATCTAATGAATATTATCTATGGTGCGTATCGCAGGTTTTCCTTATCTTTGCATGCGTTTTCTTGATTGAATAAACTTGTGCATGTAACTAATACAAAATAATTCTTCTTAATGTGCATGTGTGAGCGAACTAGAATCTAATTCTTCATAGCCTGCCACAACCACTCCTAATTTTTCACAACTTGCTAGACTGTGGTAGCAGGTATTTATTTATTTTGGTAATTATTTATTTGCTTGTTGTTGTATGGCTTGAATACAGTGACAAATGTGCAAGGGCCGCTGCATCAACGCCCTAGTGTAATGTTAAATAGGCAAGGATTCCCACATCATGGACGGATGTGGGCAAAGAAGCTAGTCCATGAAACTAAAATTATGATAGAAACTTGAAATATAAATATCCTTACAGGAAAATTAATCAAATTAATAGATATTATGATTTATAGAAAAATAAATATTATATGCATTCAGGAAACTAAATAGGTTGGAGAGAATGCTAAAGAAATTTATATTTTAATATTTAAACTATAATATTCTGCAAAGAGTCGTACTATAAATGATGTATGTGCGATTATAAAAAAAGCATTTAAAAAATAATGTTGTAAAAATTAATAAAATTGAAGATAGAATTATATCTTTAAATATTATTGTTAATGCTAAGATTATTAATATTATAAGTACTTATGCTCCTCAAGTAGATTTGGATATGGGTTTAAAATAAAAATTTTGGAATAACTTAAAAAAATTAATATAAAAGATATCTTTTGAAGAAAAAAAATTTATTGGAGGAGATTTAAATGGACATGTTGGTAGAGAGGTAAATGATTTTAAAAGCATTCATGATGGCTATAGGTTTGGAGTGACTAATGAATATGGTAAGAACATATTAGATTTTTTTTTTAGCTTATAATTTTGTAATTGCTAATATCTTTTTTTTTTTAAAGAGATGAGCATTTCATCACTTATAAGAATGGATATAATAAAACTCAGATTGATGATATTCTAATAAGAAAAATAGTTCGTTTAGATTGTAAAATTATTTCAAATGAAAATTTATGTATCAATATCGTTTATTAGTTTTGTACTTGATGATGAAGAGGCAGAAAATAAAAAATAAAGTAAAACATTATTATAGGATTAGATGAGGCATTTAAAGAATATTAATAAAAATATTTTTAAGAGTAAGATACTAGATCTTAAGATTTTGTTTGTGCATAAGCTAATGTTATGTGGAAAAAGTAGATTGTTATATTAAAAATATTGCAAAAGATGTGCTTGTTGTATCAAAAGGAAAAACTTCTATTAGTAAAAATAGTTTGTGGTGGAATCAAAATGTGTAAAAAATATAAAAAACAAGAAGATTTATTATAAAAATTAGTTAAGATATAAAAATTCTGATAATTGAAAAAGATATAAAGAGGCCCGTAAGGAGTTTAAGAAAATAATATGCGATGTAAAAATTTTAGCTTTTAATGATTTAAATAATATATTAGATACTAAGAAGGGCAAAAGATATATGTATAAGTTAGCCAAACATAGAGATAAGAGTAGTAAGGATTTAATTCAAGTGAAGTCTATTAAGGATGATGACAAAAAAGTGCTTTTATTAGAAGAGGATATTCAACAACGGTGGATGAGATATTTTTATAAACTGTTCAATAAAGATTATGAGAATGCGATTGACTTTAATGACCTTAGCATCCTAAATGAAAATATATATTTTTATTATTATCAACGTCTTCATAAAATTGAAGTTAGAGAGGCTTTAAAGAAAATATAATGTGGAAAAGCTATTGGACCTAATGATATTCAAATAGAGGTGTGGAAATGCTTAGGAGATGAATGAATTTATAGCTTACTTCAGAATTGTGAAGAATGAGTATGTCGATTCATATCTTTAAGAATAAAGGTGATGCACAAGATTGTGTAAATTATAGAGAAATTAATTTAATGTGTTTAAAACTATGGAAGAGAGTTATGGAGCACAACTAATGTTTCACAAAATCAGTTTGGATTCATGCAGGTAGGTCTCTATGGAAGCTATATATTTATTGAGAGGTTTGATGGAGAACTATAGAGAGAATAAGGAGGATATGTAATAAGGAGGATCAACATATGACATTTATTGATTTAGAGAAAGCATATGATAAAATTCCAAGAGAAGTGTTATAGCAAGTTCTAGAAAAGAAAGGGGTTAATAATGCTTATTTTCAAGTCATTAAGGATATGTATGCATGATATGTTACTTGTGTTCAGACACAAGGTGGTTTGACCAAATATTTACTTATTTCAGTTGGATTACATGAAGGATCAGTTTTAAGCCCATATCTTTTTGCTTTAGTCAAGGATATTCTCACTAGACATTTGCAAGAGGTTGTACCCTGATATATGTTTTTTGCTGATGATATTCTTCTTGTTGATAAAACTAGAGAGGAAGTTGAAGGTAAACTTGAATTATGGAGGTCAACCTTAGAGTCTAAAATCTTTCATTTGTGTAGATCTAAAACTGAATATGTGGAGTGTAATTTTAGTAATAATAATTCGTGCGAGGATTGTGACTTTGGGTGATCACATTAATCAGAGTACAAGTTTTAGTTATCTTAGATCATTGTTCAGATTGATGGCGAAATAGATGGGGATATTATTAATAGAATTCAAGTTGGATGATTGAAGTGGAGGAATGCATCGGGCTTGCTGTGTGATAGAAAGTCCCCCTCAAATTTAAGAGAAAATTCTATAAGATGGTAGTGAGACCCGCAATGCTTTATGGTGCAGAATGTTAGTCATTAAAAGAGAAGCATAATATTAAGTTATGTGTTTCAGAGATGAGGATGCTCAGGTGGATGAGTTACTTTACTCTTAGAGACAGTATACAAAATGAGCATATACGTGAAAAGGTTCGAGTAGCTCCAGTGGAAGATAAGATTAGAGAGTCGCCTTAGATGATTTAGTCACATAAAATGGCGGCATTCCAATGACCCGGTTAGGAAAGTAGATATATTAAATTTGACTTATGTTAAGAAAGGTAGAGGTAAACCTAAAAAAACTTGGTTAAAAAAAATGTTATAATTGACCTTTTTTATGAGATTTAAATGAGAATTTAACTTTTAACAGTACACAATTGAAAAAAAGGATTCATGTAACCAACCTCACATAGTAGGATAAAAGTTTGATGTTTTTGTTGGTCTTTCTCAAATAAGCTTTGACACTAAAGTACTTGTTTCACTAGTGATTTTGATGCTGCCTTGTCTTTTATTGCATATTAAAAATGGATCTTTGACTAATATGAGAACTGAGTATTTTTTAACTGTAACGTCGTGCATTTCTTTGAATTTGTCTCGCAATATCTAAAAATAAACTCCGATATTGCTTGAGTGACCACTTGAGCTTCCAACAAGAACTTTATAGCAAATACCATATAGATGAGAACTTTATAGTAAAATATCAACTGCCGGAATATGTAGATGAGAGCTAAAGATGAACATGTGATAATAATGGATACCATATAGATACTACAGGAAGTAGGTAAGTATTCCAGAATGAAAACCAATTCAAACTATAACGAATGACATACTCAATAAAGTATGTTTGATCCCTTCAAACACATGGAGCATGACTAAGGTGAACCCCCCTCTACTCTCCAAACGAGGTGGCTACGAAACCGGTTTCAATAGGAGAGGCATAGGCTTAATCTATCCCTTGAAAAATGTACACAAACGTAAACCTTGGCTCTTTATTTTTTTACATTTAGAAAACAGCAATTTGATCATATAGCAGACCCATGTGCTGCTAAATAAATAAAATAAGGCAACTTAATAAAGTAAAGAAAGAAACAACCTTTAAATCAAAAATAAATGACACTAGGACTCAGCAAGATGCTTAACAAAACTTAAAAAAGAAACCACCTTTACATTAAAAAAGAAATGAAATTTGGCCTAAACCTCAAAAACATACAGTAGCAACTAATAAATGCGGAATGATGGGGGCTATATGCAGTTTCCTATCAAGTGAAATAACCAAACAATATTTACATAAAATCCAATGCTCCTTCATATCACCATTCTTTTATAAAAGGGTTCCAATAAATTTAAGATCTCAAAAATACAGCAACAATATTCAAAATGAAACTCTAGTTCACATCCACTAGTATAGATACCATATATTAAATATTTGCATTGCTAAGATACTAATCTTAATCCCCTTATCTTTGAGTTTTTTTTTTCTTCATTAAACTTCAATAAGAGATCATGTAATATACAACTAAAATACACTATGATATATATACCAAGATACCTCACTTTAAATCTTGTGTAAGCATTTACATAACCAAGACAAACGTCTTAAACTTATTACCAACCCTTGATTTAACTATTCCATGATCAAGAACCTTTTTGTAACTCTAGAACAACCACTATCATAGTCATCGCTCAATGCATTAATGAGTTCAATATATTTAACGCACATTTTATCCTTAATGCCCATCAAATCAAGTTTTAGATGCACAATCAAACGCAATTTCAAGATCAATAAAACATATTAAGATCCCTCCAATACAATCTATATTTTTTCCATTAGTTATCATGTTATAAAAAAATAACCTCCTAGAAATTCTTATTGTCCAAAAACAAAATTGATTCTCCCATATTCATATATTTT